AAATTCAAAATGTCTTCCTGTCTTCCTTGGCTTCCTAATGACACAAGTCTTTTTTGTTTGTTCTGAAAGGTGCCAAAAAAATCATGAAAGCCGGAGCAGGGACGTGTTCACAATGGCGGTGTGTATGATGCAAATCTTGTGAAACTTTCCAAAGCTAGTTTCCTATATTTGGTAATGAGACTTTTTAGAGGTCATATCTTTCAATGATTGTATTGTACTGAAAAAATGTAATGATGTCACTCAGCCTCTCTCCTGTATCGAGTATGATGGGGAAAATGCGTCAGTGACTTCATGCTGGGGGAGGGGCGCATGTATGTCTGTGCCGGATTATTCAGCAGTTACCATGGTGACACAGAGCACATATTAGCAAACACAGCTAGTTTCATCATGGTCTGAAATTCAATAAAGTTTTAGTTTCTTGAGCTCAGTTTTTAACATCATATCATGGGATTTTTAACAATAAGTGCAGCATGTGTGGTTTAAATCAGTGTTTCCCTTTTTTTTTTTTTTTCTGGGGACCCATATTTTATTATTCGTAAGTGACAAAATAAAAGTGGATTTGACCATTACTGAACATTAATAAGGATATTTTATTGTTGACTGAGTGATCGTATCTCTCTGAACAATTAGTATTACTCAAGTTTTAAACAATGAAAAACAGTAATTGAACCAGCAATAAAAGGATCCATAATTTGCCTATTAGAACATTAAATGTAGCCCTGTATGTTGTAGACCTACATGCAGGTCGTGACAAGGCAACCCCAAAAAAACTTTCTTGTGACCCACCTGAGGATCACGACCCAGTCTTTGGGAAACATTGTTTTAAAGGACACAAGTAACCAGAGTTGGGGACTTGCAAGTCGTGACTTGGACTCAAGTCAGACTTGAGTCAACAACTATTATATAAATACCTTGACTTTTTAAGTACAATTTAGTTTAAAATTACTATGAATTGCAAAAAATCAAAGCTATATTTTGCTGTTTGGTTTAAAGACTTGAAATGACTTGAAGCTCAAAGCAGATGACTTGGACTTGACTTAGAGTTATAGATCAGTGACTCGAGACTCGACTTGGACTTGCCTGTCTTTGACTTGGGACTTGACTCGGACTTGAGGTGAAAGATTTGACACTTACTTGACATTTGCAGAACAACGACTTGGTCCCACCTCTGCAAATAAGGAACTGTTGGATTTTGTGAAATGAGTTGTTTGTTTTTCCACGTTCATAAAGACCACTCAAGAGGTTATCTAATAAGTTAACTATTGGACATTTGAGATGCTACAGGCTTTTTACACCATTTGCAGGAGCAAATGTGGCAGAAGATCTTTCAAAGGAAATATTTTGTTCACCTAGCTACCCCTGGACACTGCTGTGATGCTGCAGGACAAAGAGGAGGGACACTTTTAGCTTCCACAGGGTCTGCTGACCCTACCTGACCAGTCATTCTTTTAAACTTCCCTGAGAAGCACAGTGGAAAAGTATCTCTCTCTCTAAAATAAATACTAATTAAATTTTCAGGAGCCTGTGATCAATAAGAGCATTCATGGTGCTTAGATGTTTGATTTTCAACAAAAATAGTGTGAGTGACTATGTGAAAATGCAATTGGAGAGACTTATTTAACAGCACAAATCAGTTCACCTCTAATTGTAGTTCTGAGTCTGTTCTTAATGGTTTGATTGTGTTAAAATAAATGTTGCAAATTTTTAGGCACAAAAACGATTCAGGTTCTCTTCCACAGGGCATATTTATTATAAAGCCACACACAAAGAAATTAAATCCGCTCTCATACCGTGCCTAGAAGCGGTAAAAACACACGTCAGTCTAGTTCAAGGCACGTACAAAAAAAACTGTGCGGGGCGTTCAAATACATCTCATAAAAACAACAACGTTCAGAATTTAAAATACTAGTAAATTAATTGATCACGTCTCTCACATAAAGCTCACATTAAAGTCTAACTTGGTGTGGTGGATACTTCTGCCACCACTCCACAATGTTAATGTTATTTCATTTCATTTACATTAAGTTAGTTGCAGCACACAGTTTAATTTAATACCTTTATTTAGACTTATATTCTAATTTGGGTGCACACATTTTAGTTAATATAAGTCTGAATTATTTACTTAGACTTGTTCTTTTTTGTTTTGTTTGTTTGAGTGAGACAGAGACTATCCATGCTGAACAAAAAGGTGGAGAACTATTTAGTTAGATTTAATAAGTTTGTTTCTGTAGTTTGTTTATTATTTTCTGTATTATACTTATTTACCTTGTTACTTTGATTAAGTTAGTAGTTTTAATTATTTTGTGTAATTCCCTCCTCTTTGTTCAGTTTTAGTTGGTCCTCATGTATTTAATTAAACACCAATGTTCCTTGTCTGGTCATGTTAGTTTTGTTCTGTTCAGTTTGATTTAAGTTACCTCAGTTGGGCCCTACTTTTTGTTAATGATTTACCTAATTTGAACTTTTGTTAAGTTCCTTCCATCTCCTTTTTACATTTTATTTTTATTTACTTTTTATTCAATTTAAACTTATTTTTATAGCTTGTCTTTGCCTTTCTGTTTGGTCCACTACACTTGGGTTAAAGCGTTTCCCTCTGCACGTTTTTCACAAACAAAACAGACTGTATTTCTACTAAATGTCGATGTAGGTTTGCATGGCATTGCTATGTTTGCTCTGGTTCATTTGGCACTGGCTTCGACCCAAATCACAATGCTGCACTTTGATTGGTCAGTCTCTGCAGGGACCCATCAGCCGGAGCTTAAAAAGAGGCTTTGTGAACTCTCACGAACTAAAATCACCAGAATTCATCTCTCTGGCAAGGTTAATGTTACCATACTGTGAAACATCCCGAGCAAAGCAATAATACCTCCATGGAGACAGTTGCATGGTAGGACCCCACTGTCACCCCTATAGTGAAATGTATTCATCACATGTGTCTGGAAGAAAGAAAACAGACTGTGGCCTTTGAACAGTACAATTCAAAGAGTATCCCTTTATTAAATATTGAAGTCACACACGCGTGGTTAGCGGGATGTGGGCTTTTGAAGGGAAGAAATCACCTTTAAACAGACAGGGCCCATACCTCTGCACTACAGTGAGCAGCAGTTACATCACCATTGAGTCAGGCATTCTCAAACCAAAATAAACACTGAAAATGATGAATGGAAAAAAAGGTCCAGGGACGATCAAAAGATGGAGGGGCTCACAGCAAATGATCCTCCGAAATTCAAACGCTTTTTTTCCACTTTGAAAATGAACTGGCTTTGGGTAACTCATTTATACAAAGGTCATGGAACAGGGGTGAAATGAAAACACCCAAAATGACTCAATTGTTATGGTGTAAACTGTAAAAATGAAGAACTAATTAGTCATATTTTTGTCAAGTTTTGTCTGTTAAAATGTGAAACTTTAATAAATATTTGATTCATATGAACAATCTTGGTTTACTTCTTTACTTTGTTTTTACTCTAGACTACCAGTCAAACGTTTGCACAGATGTATGCTGTTTCTTTCTTTTCGTTGTAAATTCAAAACAAAAATCAAATCAAAACTATGAATGACCACATATGGAATAACTCAAAACTTTTAAAATAGTCACCCTTTGACACTTGGCATTCGTTGTCCTGACATGCACCTGTGAAGTAAAAAACATTTCAGGAGACTTTGTCAAAAAACTCACTGAGCGAAGTCAAGGGAGAAGGTCAAGGTTTTGTGGCGCAGTTGACAAAGCAAAAGGTGGATACTTTGAGAATTTGAACATAAAAAAAATTGCTTGTTTTTGTTTTTTTACTACATAATTCCATATATCTTACATCATATATTTGACGTCTCTAAACTGCAGAAAGTAGTAAACAGCAAAAACAAATGAATGAGGTGTGTCCAAACTTTTGACGGGTGTACATGTTTACATTAAAATCATCTAAAATCTCACAAAAACAAAATATGCCTGACAGTATAAATACTGATATGTACGTATTGACCCATTCAGCACAGTTACAGTATACGTGCAACCAAAATAGCTAAAGAAAACTTCAAATCTGTCAACCGGACAAAAGTTTGTCCTGGCATTGCTATGGTGACTGATGGATTACACAGATATCCGCAAACAAAATGATCACCTTTGCATAGAGAGAAGTAGAACATGTTCTGATTAGAAAACTTTTTCAATAAAACATCTGTCTTGTCATGTAAATTTACAATAAATAAATAACAGGTCCATAAAGTGAGTCACCTGACCAGTCAGAATCACACGCTTTGACAACAAATTATCCAAGAGATGCACTTGTTCTTCCTGGTCAAAACAAACATGGGGTAAAAAAGGGGAAACAAAACAACACAGAGGACTGGCTGTGTTGATTTCTGCAGAATCAACAATCCAAGCACCAAACTATTATTTATAGTAAGAAGTTATATATTTTGTTCTGAATGATAAGAGGATTTTTGAGATGTCTTCTGCCTTTGAGAAACATGTGCTCTTGAGTTTGGACAGAGGTTTTTCACGCTCTATGATCCAAGTCCAGACCTTCTGGATTCAAACAGAATGTGAAAGGGACTGGCTGGTCAGGCAATAAAGTGAAATATAGGAATTCTGTATTTCCTTTGAGAACAGTATAACATTATTGACTTTATGTGCTGCACTGTGGCCCAGGGGTTTGGTCACAGCACACATGCCACAAAATAAAATACAAATAAAAGAGCATTGACATACAATATCTGTAAATGACATAGGCATATAAGAGCATCAATGTTTTTTTTCTATATGTTTACTATGTTCTATATATATATATATATATATATATACACACACAGAAGACATCAAATATATGAAGTAAGATGTATGAAATTATGTAGCAAAGAAAAATACCAAATCCTCAAATTAGCCACTTAGTGCTTAGTTGAGAAAAAAAAAATATATATATATATATATATATTATATATATATATTTTTTTTTTCTTTACTCAATAATTCCATACATTTTGCTTCATATATTTCTGTATGTATATCTAATGTGGAAGTAGTAGGAACAAAGAAGGTGGTGTCTGAAAAGGTTGGACTGACATAAAAAAAAAAATGTTTTTTTTTTATCATCATTGTGATACTGAAATTGATATCAAGTATAAAATATTTCCCTTAATGTATTTGAAATTGTTGTATTTTGAAAACACTATTTCTATTTCTGTCTGCATTTTCTGTTTTTAGAAATGAATAAAGTCCTGTAGCAAAAGTTTACCATTTGTCTTGCCCGGTTCGTTTCCTTAAAGGTGCACTGCAAAAGGGAAATTCAATTTATCAAGGCTTTTGGTCAAAAAAGGTGCATTGTGTAACTTTTTGATTGGGGCTCATCACCTGCTTGTTTCTATGGATAGGTCATTGCTCTCCATAAATATAGAAACATTTAATACAATACTATGAACCATTCCAGACAAAGCAATAACATCTCCATGAAGAAAAGCATTTGACGGACCCTTCGCCTGAAAAGTTACACAGTGCACCTTTAAGAGCAGTTCAATGGCTACAAACTTTGTAGTGTAACGCGGCGCAGGCAGGAGAGCATTGTCCAGTCAGCAGCAGCATCCTCCCATCCCGCTGAGGAAACCTGAGTCCAGCAGAGGCAGCGCTCACACCAGCCAATGGAGACATCAATAAAGGGACAAGGTGAGCGCGGGACAGAGGGGGGAGGGAGGGGGCGGGCAGGGTGCACTTCCCATAATGCCGCGGGGGCCAGGCTGGGAGTGCAGGTCAGGCCAGAGAGACCAAAATGCAGGCTGGTACTCTGTGATCGGACATCCAAACTTTGACAGAGGGCAGCGCAAGTTTCCCGAGGACATCGATGTGTTCACTTGAGTTGAGTCGGACAGTTCAGTTTTCTTAAAAATAAAAGTGAAAGTGAAGGGATGTATGTCAGTCCTCCTCTTCTACGTAGGTCGATGGAAACCAGCCCACCTGAAAGAAAAAGCATTACACAATTTGGGGGAAAAAAAAGAAGTGTATTGTGTGTATTGTATCTGTGTATTTCTTAAGTTAAAGCAATATTTGCCTGTACTGATCAGTGGGGAAACATAAAGTAAAAGTAGAACTGTACTTTTTAGGTATCTGCACTTTACCAAAGCACATTTTTAAGTGGATACTTTTTACTTTTACTTCACTACATTTGAAAGCAGGTATCTGTACTTTATACTCCACTACATATTTGAACAAGACTGAAAAGGTTTTTTTTTTTTTTAATCACATTCGCAGTTTGAGACAAAAAAGCTAGTAAAAAACTGATTCCAAATTCGCAAATCTTTATCAAAATCACTATATCTGAAGCTTTATAAGACCTCAAAATATAAGTACATAAGTACATTTTTAAATAGGTACTTTAGATTTTTTCATATGATACTTTTACTTTTATTTGAGATTTTTTTTCCCATAAGATAAGATAATCCTTTATTGTCTCCCATGGGAGAAATTTGTCTTGGGACAGGGGGTAAATTTCTCCCATGGGAGACAATAAAGGATTATCTTATCTTATCTTATGGGAAAAAAAAAAATCCATCCATTTTCTTCTGCTTATCCGGGGCCAGGTTGCAGGGACAGCAGTCTAAGCAGGGACTCCCAGACTTCCATCCTTCCAGAGGCGTTCCCAGGCCAGCCGAGAGACATAGTCCCTCCAGCATGTCCTTGGTCTTCCCCAGGGCCTCCTCCTGGTGGGACATACCCGGAACACCTCCCGAGGAAGGCGCCCAGGAGGCATCCGGAACAGATGCCCGAGCCACCTCAACTGGCTCCTCTGGACGTGGAGGAGCAGCAGCTCTACTCCAAGCTCCTCCTGTGTGACTGAGCTCCTCACCCTATCTCTAAGGGAGCGCCCAGCCACCCTGCAAAGGAAACTCATTTCGACCGCTTGTATCCGCAATCTCGTCCTTTCAGTCATTACCCAAAGCTCATGACCATAGGTGAGGGGTGGAAGGTAAATTGACTGGTAAATCGAGAGCTTTGCCTTTTTTTTTGCACTAGTATTTGTACTTTTATTTAAGTAACATAATTGACATTAACATCAACTTGACACTATCTATGGATTAAAATGATCATTTGCTGCACACAAGTCAACAATAGTTTTCTCTCAAAACAACATTTCTCAGTATTTCCCCAGTACATTTTGTGGCAAAGGAGAAATTCAGTTCAGAATTTCTCCTTTCATTTCTCCTTTCCACCTGGACGACTGAGGGATTTTTCATACCCAGTACAATTTGTAAAAGCAGCTCTTGAGGTAAAAGTAAGTCCACTGCGTGCATCTAAAGCATTTTATTGTCAGATAATCAGGAAATGTGAGGTTAGAATGCTTGTTAGCTTTACCATCACAGCAAAACTCCACTCTGGTCTTTGGAAGCTGTGAAACGTAAAAAGTTTTTAAATCTATCTTTCTATTACACTGCTGTTTTGTTTGGAGCATTTTTGGTTTTCTATTATTGAAAATTATATGAACAAAAAACGGCAACTTTCTAGGAATAAAATGCCAAGACCCACCCGCCCGTCCACCTCTCCCTTCCACCAGCCGTTGGACATTTTGGTGAATATTTTGATGTAGTCTCCTTGAAGCAGAGACAGCTCCCGAATGTCTCTGGAGCAGAAGTTGTATCGAGCCACAGCGATGCCCACCACGCGAGGACAGAACACTGGAAAACACGCACAAGACATGAAGAAGATCAACACAAAGGTGCACTACAAAACAAAACAAAACAGGCTACAATAAATGGCTTTGTTTCAATACAAGACTATTGCTAAAAACACTTTGTAAAAATACCTCTTATGATATGAAAGTGTTTATTTTAGTCTGATAATTGGGTGAAATGTTACGCTTTAATTAAAAGTAGCATAGCATTTAATTACTATAATTTAAGTAATTATTAGCAATTTACGTAGTGACTTAAACTGCTTCAGTTGTAGTAAAAAGTATCTGAGTTAAAATGTAGAGTTTGAGATTCTGTTTTAGTCCACAAATTTGAAAATAACTATCATATCTGAAGATGAGGTGCAAAAAAAGCTCATATAATTTACTGTTCTCAAAGTTGATTAAGTTAAGTGAAACTACTTTTACTGCAAAAAAATATCTATATATATTACTGAAGTAGTAACAACAGTATACTCCATGAAAATACAATTTAAAAAAAAAAAAAAAAGGTTGTGTTACATGCATACTCTAAATCCGATTGTCTGATGTTTGGAGTTATAGGAAATAGGATTATTTAGTTATATTTATAGGATTATTTAAATCACATGTAATCAGCAAAATGTATTTTATTAATTAATTTATTTATGTAATGAAACAGAGACAGTGCACAATTTTGCCCCGTCATCCCTGGGCAGGTTTATTGATTGATTGTATTTAATTGACCTTAGTTAAGCATGTTTTGGGTCAAATAATCTGATTTCTTTCTGATTGTGGTCCCTCTGATGACTCATATCAGATTTTCAGTTTGTTTATCTTTAAATAATGTTAAAGGTGCACTATGTAACTTTTTGGTTTGGGGTCCATCGCCTGCTTGTTTCTATGGAGATGTCATTGCTCTGCCTGACATTAAACAGCTCTGCCTTACATGTATTCAATTAAAGATGGGGTTATAAAGTAACTCAAAAATACCAAGAAAAACAGGCATTCTGACTGTGAGTGAACTTGCCTCTCCACAGATCTGACCTGTAACTTTGCTGGTTTGGTCTCCATGAAGATAGAAGAGTTTAATATCATACTGTGAAACATTCTAGACAAAGCAATTTGATTGACTCTCCACTGGAAAAGTTACACAATGCAGCTTTAATGGTAGCAGCATGTCATTTGGGAAGTTTGTTCAGCTTTTCAATTGTGTTCAACTTTTTGATTTTAAAGGTCAGATTCCCTTGTATGCAAAAATATTTAATTTATTTTGAACTGTTTTAAACCAGTTCTGTGAAGAGAGTGTGAGACAAGGACATTTTCAGAGCGACGCTTGAATTTTGCTGAAAACTAATCAAAAATACCTTAATGTTGACTTCAACAACGTGTGTAATTTAAATGCACAGCGTCGCCAAACTTATGTTAAACGAACAAGAGGAAATGAAATTATGTATGTTTGTAATTTGGATAATTTAAATAGGTTAACTTTTTCTGTATTTTATTCTTCGCGCAGTGTTGAAATGCTTTATAATCAGGTTGGAAAAAAAGTCTGTGAAGGTCAGTCATAAACAAAAATCAATATTGGTCTGCTAAGTTTTGGAGGAAAATACAAACAGCTTTTTATCTTCAAACTTTGCACAATTTCGACATTTATTGGCTATGTGTCTAACTTTACTGTACGGGTAAAATGAAAGATTAAAACTATGGAGAGAAGTCTGTCTTAAAGGTTCACTGTGTAACGTTTCTTGTTCATTTGTGTTTGTTTGACAGGGACAATGCAGTCATACATAGTCACAGGTAGAGCATCCAGTTGGTGTGACGCATAGAGTAGGTAGTGCTAATTCTCAACTCTTGTCCCTGGTTAAGCTTTTCCTACACTAACAGTTAATTAGGCTCATGATAATTACTGTACTGACTTATAGTTCAATATATGAAAGCTGGAACAATATATACGGAGTCAGTATTCATCATATGTCCGTTTTCTTTGCTCTACTTGGAAGTTTTTGGTTATTTTTTGGCTGTATAAGAAGATTTAAGCTGTAAAAGGTTGAATATATAGCTTTTATGAATCATTATAGATGCAAAATAACAACTAGTGTTTCATCTGCTGATTATTTATTGTGGTTTATGATGTTTTTTTGTTTTTTTTAACAATAGTTTTTGTGGTTTAAATCTGCTCTTGGGTTTTTGTGTCAGAGGCATAAAGTAGTTTCAGTATAATTGTTTATTGTCTATATCAGACATGTCAGACTCAGGCCCAGGTGCCAAATTTGGCCCATGATATAATTATATTTGGCTCGCGAGATCATGTCAAATATGTATTAGAGCTGGCCCACCGGCTACAGATAGGCTATAGAGACATTATTTATTAAAAATGTTGTTATTATTTCATATTATGATTGTTCTGAATTTAATGTTTAAGCAAAACTATTTTTAAACATTTATTTTAATAAGAAAGGGTTTAACATTACCTATGTCTGAAGAGATATCTGAAGAGAAAATATGCAGATATTGCTGAACTCTTTCAATAAATATTTAGTTTGGCCTGCAACTTAGTCCCAGTTTTCATTTTGGCCCTTTGTGAATTTGAGTTTGACACCGCAGCAATATATCGCAATATATCAGAATTTGTTATTGTGACAGGCCTATTCAAAACAGTTTAAAAGAGACAATCTTTAAACACACTTTTACAACAGTGCAGTTTACAGGTCAGTATTTACAGGTGGGTACAACTTTGATTTGTTTTTTTAACAGTTTAAGCTCTGTTATTCCCTTCAGTTCAGGGGGTAAAGAGTTCCATTACAATAGTGATATGAAAAGGCCGACTGCCCAAATGTGGTTCTGTGGTGTGAGATTGTACAGTTATTACCGGAGAGGCTTCTGGACACTCTGTTGTTATCTCTGAATAAATGTACTCTCTAACTTGTTGCCTTCGTGGAGATCTGTCTGGAATATTCCTCAGTATGGCATTAAACTTATATCTGTAGACAAGCAGGTGGCACAAACAAGTTACAGGTATGATCTCTGGAGTGCCAAGCTCAATAACATCTCACATGAGCAGGGGTCTCCCACCTATAGCTCGGGAGCTACCAGTAGCTCTCCACCCCCTTCCAAGTAGCTCGTCAAGGGATTTTAGAATTCTGTGTATTGTGGATAGTAAGTTAAATTTGATTAATTACCATTGTAAATGTATCATATCAATGCCTAACTTGGTGCACCGATAAATGTATTACGTTTTATAAGCATCTAACGGTTCCCCATCTAAGGCTCACCATGGCTCGTTTTTATTTATTCAGTTTTCTTTGTCACTGCTGAAACTGGTAGCGTTTTCCTTCGTAAAGGTAGCTCATTATTGAAAAAAGGCTAGAGACCCCTGCCGTAGAGACAAGATGGTAACCAAGCCTCTAACAGGAAAGTTACATAGCGCACCTTTAAATTGACTCTTGTGAGCTTCTAGTAATGTTGAAACCTTGCTACCTCCTTAAAAACATACCTGGAGTTGTATTTTGTTTCATTCCCACATGTTTGAGTCACCCTGGTTCAGCACTTCCTGTATTATTAAATGACATCACAAGGTGGAAGTGAGTATTTTCTGTTTGAGAGAAGAAGTCATCTTAAATTTGTCATGTGTGAATGCAACAAAGCACAACTCCATGTATGTTTTTGATGAGGAAACGACATTATAACATCTGAAAATAGTATAATATAAGCTCTTTAACTAGTAGTGAAATTGTGCACACCATTCAAAATATTCCACATTTTATACCAAGTAAAAACAATTATGTACATTTCCATTTCAGTTTCATAATAACTCTAATGTGAAATGCACAATCCACTTTAAACAATGTTCATTTGAGTTTTATATTGCCTAAAAAATCGAGTTGTTTCCATTCTAATTTTATCATTACATCAGCATGACACTTCTGTATTGTGGAGTGAAACAAGCTTCAAGGATGAATATGGCGAAGCAGCAGTCAGGTTTGGTTACTCATTGCAGAGCTGTTGCCAAGTTGCTAGAGGGCTTCTAATTCTAAAAATACAAAGTTCAAGTTTCGGTGTGTTGAAAAAGAGATATTTTGCATCAAATTGTGAAACATTAAGCCTTCCCCATTTCCATCGGGTTTATACAATTAGAAATGATAAATAAAGTAGTAATAACATGTAACGTAGCGTATATTAAAGGTGCACTGCGCAACTTTTCACGTTAAGGTTACTATACTACACCATGTTATCACTTAGAGTTGCTAGGAATGTTCCACAGTATTGCATTAAACTTATGAACTACTGTATGTATTCAGTTGCATGTGTTTTCATTGCTCAAAAATACACTGATAAACATGTGCTCGTACTTCAGGATGGGCTTGTCTCTCCACAGATCTAACCCATAATGTGGCCAGCATGCCTCCATGGAGATAGAAAAGTTTAATGCCAAACTGTGGAACATTCAGGTAATAACATGTTCATCAATGAGACAACAGGTGGGAAAAGTTGAGCAATGCACCTTTAAATGAAAATACATTTAAAATTTAGATTGACTGTAAATCCACATTATTTGATTCAACATTAATTAAATAAATAAAAGACAAACATGCGACATAGTAAATTTAAGATCTGCTGACTTTTACAGGAGCTCACACAATGATGTAAACTTGTCTTTCAAACGGATACAGAAGTCAGCATTTTACAACAAAATAGAACTATTTTGAGCCTTTTTGACCTATATTTTACACACTAACTCCCAAATGTAAAATGTAAAATTATACTGATAAATGTTATAAAAGTAGTTTATTATAACTACACTTGCCTTAATAAAGCATGACAAAAAACATTTTTCATAATAAACAAATAGTTAGTATAGCAAAATTGACTTTTTGAAGCTTAGAAAATATTTCACCGTATCAGAAACAATCTGCATCCAGACACGTCGTTTCTGTGTCCGCAAGCCTTTCCTATCCACACAGCTTTGAGCATATGTGTTTATGTTTTACAAAAACGAAATTTAAAACCACATGGATAATTTGCATAAATTAAGCACTCAAAAACAGTTCACTATTGTGTGCGCTGATGCGGTTCAGCTTCTGTCAGACTAAAGGACACGACTCAGTGGATTATATGTGTTATTTCTGTGACAGAGGGGTGATCTGCTGATGGTGAGTCTGTTCTGTGCTTCTGTCGCGTTGGAGATGGTTCATGTGAAACTTTTCAGAGATTATATGTCTGCAGGTCATACGCATAGACCGTATATATAAATGGACATATATTCTAGCCTCTTAGTGTTTAGCGTTTTAGTGTGCACACAGTGCCGGATCAGATACTTAATATAATTCTTGGGAGGTGTCGGCACCATCATTCCATCTCTGGAGCCATTTTCAATTGGATTAGATGAATACTGCATCCACAACGAAAACAACTCAAGTATGTACTAGTGTGGATGGGCCTTGGTCTCTTATTTATTTATGTTGTATGGTGGTGTTAAGGATTATCTTATCTTAAAGTGTCAAAAACAAAACTGATATTTATCAAAACACGTTAATAGATTGTTTTTGGTGAATACAGTATTTTCATAACAATAAAAGCTAACATGGTGATCAAAATATTTTATGTGTCAGCAATTAATATAGTATAGAAGTAAAATATTCCCTTTTAAAGTTTGGATGTTAGTTAGATATTTACTAACCATCATCAGTCATTCTTAATTTGTTCATTATAAATTAAAGCTTTCTTCATGCTTAATTAACACTAATTATGTGCAAAACCTTTATATCATTTCAAAATATTCACAGTTTTCCCCCTTGAAACCCTGCAGAGTAAAAACATGATACTAGAGACACAGAGAGGCAGTGGGTGGGTGCATGTACCTGACCAAAATGGCGACGACGCTGGAGGAACGAAGCTGCAGAAGTCTGGAGGAACTGAAGATGGAGGAGGAGACGAGCAGATGGGGCCAGAGCATCCCAGAGCATCCCAGCGCGCACCGGGAAAGTAAACACAAGTTTGACACCGCAGAAGAAGAGCGAAGAGAGAGACAGGAAAGTTTTCAAAGTCAAAAGATGAGCCACAAAAAGCAAGGACAGGTGAGGGAGGAGGGCACCAAACACACACAGCCCTGGCACACGATTTGTCATTTCCCTGTGCGCTGCGCCGGGGTTTGGGGAGGATCCTGGGTAGTATTTTTAAACTAAGTACAAAAGAGTAGAGATGCGGTGCTCATTAACATATAGGTGGAGGCATTGGAGGTTGTACCCGCACAGACTGATGTACAGTAGATACGCAGTTTGTTAACAGGGTTGTCAAAGATATAGAAAATCTAATATATAGATGCTAATCGATACAAAAACTAGTACTGAGACTAGATACTAAGGCTGTGCAATTAATCGAATTTTGATTACGATTTTGATTTGTGTGTTAAAACGATCTCCAAAGAGTTGAAACAATTTAAGCTTTATTTTGGGATATTTTTAAATATATATAATAAGTATATTTATTTTATTTTTTAAATACAGAGATTGTAAAACAGCTGGATATATATATATATATAAATATATATATGTTTTTTTTGTTTTTTTTTATACATTTATGTTTTTCTATGCCTTATTTCAAGTTCATAGTTTCAAGTATATTTTATAGTTTATACATCACAAAATTGCTCTAAGATACATATTTGTAGCCTATGTTTATTTTCAGTTTGAAGGTTTTGCGTAAATTATCAATAATAAAGTGCGTTTCTGTTTGTTTTATTTATTTTTTTGAGAGAAATGCTAAATAAATACATCGTGTAACTACAAAATAATCGTTTGAATAATCGTGATTTCAACATTAGTCAAAATAATCATGACAATGATTTTTTTCCATAATTGAACATCCCTACTAGATGCTCATCTGATGAGATATCGGTACTAAAAAAGACAAACAGAAACAAAACTATCCTGAATAGCTTTAGAATGATCTTGAGCAAAAAGACTAGTTTGCACCCATGGACCACTATGGAACCTACCTGGATCACCGAGGGATTACCAATGTATAAGACTACATTGTATTCCCAATTTCTATATGCATTATGTAACTTTGCTTTTTCCACAGTTTAGCATTAAATGGTAAATGGTCATGTTTTTATATAGCGCCTTAGGGTCAAGGCACGCCAAGCACTTTACAACAAGGAACCACTCAACCATTCATACACACATTCATACACTACTGTACAGGGGGCTAGGTGGATTAAGTGTCTTGCTGAAGGACACAACAGCAGCATTCATCTGTGGGAGCTGGAATCGCACCGCCAAGACATAGTCCAGTGGATCTGACCAGTCAACTAATGATGTTTATGTCAAGATTAAACATATGTATTTTCATGGAAACAAACAGGTGACGCCAACAGGTCAAGTTACAGGTCAGGTCTGTGGAGAGGCAAGCAATATTTTATATATATATAAGAATATTATTTCAAGGTATTTTTTGTAATAACAGCTGTAAATGAATAAAGGCGAGATAGGTTTCAGTCAACAAATGTCCATTGAGACAAGAGGATGGTGTAACCTCAGAAAAGTTATGTAGTGCATCTTTAAATTAAAACTGCATGATAAAAAAGTAATGTTTGTCTATTATTACTTAAATATTTGAATGTGTAAATAAAATATAAATACCAAAACAAATGTGAATGTTGTTTTCAAAAACCGAGGATGTGTTTAGTTTTGTTTACATATATTTGACTAATCCTTTATTTAATTAATCAGTCTGTCTACATCTCCAAAGCTCAAAATGCTCTGTTCAACCTTGTGATGTCATGAAGCTGTAATTTTCAAGTTAACAGCTACCTTTTATGTTATAATCAGTAGAAATTGGCAATTTCAGAGCTGAAATGATCGAAATGATTCTAGTGCGGGTGAATGGAGTTTAAAAACACACTCCCCGAACACTTCCTGTATTACCACATGACATCACAAGGTGGAACAGTGTGTTTTCTTTCTTTTTGAGAGAAGAACTCAGTCTAAATTTGCAGGATATGTGTATTGAACATGTGTGAATGAAACAAAACACAACTCCAGGTATGTTTTTTGATGAGGAAATATTTCTGAAATTAGCCTTTTAACAGTTGGCAAAAGATTAACCTTTTTTCTTTTTCTTCAAATCTGTATTTATTGCGATTTCAACCAAAAACACCCCAAGGTCACTAGCATGTGTTTACAAAAGCACATGTTTAAACAGTGTGCACACAATATTGCTGCTCAGTTGATTTCCTTATTTCTGATTCAATAATAATCCCCAGAGCTGGCACCAGCAGGCCTGCCAGAGCATAAAGCAGCTCAGAGGTTAAACAACAGACTTGGTGATTTGGACCTGTTATGTGGAGCCCAGACTTCCATATGAAACCCCATCTGAGGACCCGGACCCTGCAGTGAACACAGCGCCTCCTGTCAACACCGCAATATGGCCGCTCTGCCCCCCCACAGGGATAAAGAGCTAAGGACCAACACATGTTAGCCCTCACCAATATGGCCGTTGTGCTGATAAAAAAAAAATACACACACAGGACAGAGCAGTTGTGCATTTAAAGGGCCCATGCTAGGTTGTTTTGTGCTTTGTTATAATGCTGTTTCCTCATCCAAAATACACTCGGGGTGTTGTTTTGTTTCATTCACATGTTTAACACACACACCCTGCATATTTAGAGTTCGAGAGAGGAAAAACTGTTCATGTGGTGATACAGGAAGTGCCCCACTGTGTTTTTAAACTCCATACACCTTAACTAGAATCATTTAGATTATTTCAGCCTTGGATTTGCCCATCTCTACTGAACTAATGGTACTTGAGATACAGACAGACTAAAAATAAAGGCTTACTCCAACATGTGTGAAACAAAACAGAACAAAACAGAACTCCTGAGGAACATTTTCAAGGTGATAACAACATTATAATATGGCTTAAAGCTCACAAGAGTCAATTTTGTGAAATATAGGTCCGTAAAGCTGTGTTGTGGACCAGTGTTTCCCACACTTTTTTTCTGGAGACCCATATTTTAAAAGTCACAAACCTTCACGAACCAAGACAACAGACATTATTCGTAAATCACAAAATAAAGGTGGATTTGACCATTATTGAACATTAATGAGGATATTTTATTGTTGACTGAGTGATCGTGTTCTCTGAACAATTAGTATTATTCAAGTTTTAAACAATGAACAACAGTAATTGAACCAGCAATAAAAGGATCCATAAGTTTCCTATTTGGATTAAATGTAGCTCATTTCTTTTTCTTTTCAACATTAAATTGAACCAGCAAAACTGGAACAAAACAGTCAATAGAATAATTACAAAAAGATTAGAAATTATACAAAACATGTCTTAACATTTCAACATTTCTAATGAGATAGGTGGGCCTGTCTGTGTTTTTGTAGCGGGTACCAGTCCGGGGTGCAGAAGGAGAGCGCAACAGCAGATCAGATTGTCTTCATTTTTGTGAGCACAGAAAATCTCATGTGTCAGAACTGTATATTGCAGACCTACTTGACAAGGCGACCCAAAAATAATCTCTTGCAACCCATCTGAGGGTCGTGATCCAATCTTTGGGAAACAATGTTGTAGACCATTTGAAGATCGACCTTCTGTATGGTTATGATGAATAAGGTGCAACCATGAGACTTGACAAATGTGTGAGTAGCAATGATTTGGTGAGCAAATTATTTATACATCAATGTAAGTTTTACTTGTCTACAATGACAATGAAAAAACACTTGTTTAGACTATGGCTGTGTCCACACTTTTCCTACTCAAAGCACTATTTAGGAGTCCTGCCATTTTTAGTGGTGTCTGAATGTCGTAGTGCACTCAAATTTTCCCACAATGCACCTTGAAAAGTGATGTCAAGTGTTGGTCAATAGAGCTGTCAATATAAACCACAATGCTTTGGGAGAGTCAGAAAAATAACAGCGTGAGTCTTTAACTGGACACAACTCGAATGAATAAATGCAGAAGCTCGGTTTTCTCTTTTGAACCAAAATGATTACTAAAACAGTCGCTAGCGTGAGGTCGATAATTTCCACTTTCCAGACGAAAAGCTGAATGATCCAGTTCGTTTAACTTGAGATCCATCTTGCATGCTGATTATTAGTCCATAAATACTTGCGTGCCAGTTTAAGTTGATCATTATTTAATTACAGCAATCAATTTTTTAGGAGGTTAGTGGACTTTTTTCACCCAGATGCCAGAGTTGCTAAATTAGAGACTCGCATGGACATTAGACATTACATTGCAAAAATGAAAATCTAGCTGAGTTAAGAGTACTTGAATTGAAGAAAATTAAATCATGAGTTCAGTAAATTTCATTTGAGAAGTGAAGTGATTTACTTTTTGACCTTTTGAACTTAAAATCTGAACATCGTGATACATCTTACTAGACTTAGATAAGAAAAACAACTCATTGCAGTTAAAATAAAAAACAAAGTCTAACATTGCTTAAAGTAAGAAAGACAAATGTATTTCAGTGGTAGATAATTTTACTTGTCAAGTTGAATATACTCAAATAAAGTACTTTAACCTACCTAGATATCACTCTGTGCAGTGGATGTCAATGAACAACTAACAATTTCTAAAGATTTTACTTTATAGTTGACTTATGACTAGTCTTATAACTTTAACCCCAAATGATTGTGCACATACAGTAACACAATAGCTCAGTTTTATCCCAACTCTGTGGACTTTGGTGAAAGCCTGATTTAAAGCGGCCGTCTAATGTAGTGCTTGTCCGACAGCCCTTCACCAGTAGCCCAGAGCCTCGGTGCTCTGAAGTCCAAGAACAAGCCGACCTCTCGCCTGTCAATCAAACGTCACCACATCAGAACAAACAGAGCCGTGTGCAGCGCGGTGTTGTCTCGGCAGCTCAGGAAATGTGCACAGCGCTTTAAGCCAATTTAAGAGA